GAGGGTGCTGCACAGGAGGAAGTATGCTCAACCACAACAGAGGAAGTCAAGTCAAAGTCGTAACAAGGATGATTTGTATAAGCTAATCCTAACTTGTATTATTGCAATATCAAATGCTACAATGAGCAATGTACTGCAGAGTAAATGGCTGCATTTCCACACCTTAGGAAGCTGAGATTCGTTGCATTATACAGTATGTTTTACAGCCTAGCAATATGTCATACATACCTTTAAATACAGGTGTTGGACACAATAACAAGAACACCTAGTAATATGTGAATATCAATGACCTATTAACAGTTTGTCCATCTTGTATTTATCTGACTCCTGTCCTCGATGGTGAACTGTCTTATAACCTAATACCAAACCACATAAAAAAGGTTAGAAAGCACACAGAAATCCCTCAGGTGATGGTTATTTGACTGTAGTTAAACAGTAAAAAAGAAAACAGAAGATGGACAGAAGGTAGAAGATGAATAATAGACAAGAGGCAGAAAGTAGAAAAATGAGAAAAACAGAAGTTAGAGGAGATACAGAATAAGCAGAAATAAAAATGAGAGAGAGGGGTTGTTTCTTATCGGATCAAGAAGTAATGAAGCAAAAGAGTGTGGCAGAGACAGATAGAGCTAAGGCAGTGAAGAAAAGACGCGCAGCAGTTGACAACTTCCTGATATGAGTTTGCTAGAAAGAGAAGCTGAAATGTCAGGCTGAATGCCATGGTTCTGTTTCCACAAAATAAACACTAAATCGACCCCAACAGCGAAAAGGCCTATCTCAATTTTCTCACCAGGGAAGAAATACAGTTGGATGAATTTGATCGTAAAAACACAAAATATACAAACTGGATTTTTCTTGCATGACAAAAAGTGGAATGGATGAAAAGGACATATTTACAGTATATTGAAATGACATCATTTTCAAAGGACACCAGGAGATGACGCTGATTCATCAGGAAGATTTGCATCTTCATATGGATTAATACTAATCCTCCCACACCAGACATTAGAACTAAAGAATACATGCAAATAAACAGTAAATGCTCCATTATTTACTTTCTTACTGCTTGGATGGCTGATGAAAACTACTGTACATGTGACATTGGCTCAAAGACTAGAACAACTATTTTAAGTGAACAAGAACAGACTAAATTGATGATTAAATGTCCAAATAAGGCACTGAGCCACCAGAAGTTGATAGAAGAAGTTCACTGCTCCTTGCCAAAGATTCTCCAAGTCTCTCAACTCTATTGAGGAGAAGCCAAATTCTTACCAAATATATTCCCACAATCTTTGTGGCGGTGCCTATAAATACTGAAGATTTTTGCCATGACAAGTAAAATCTCTCATGTGCACTGCATGAGATCACAGCTCTGGATATGGTGCCCATGTATGAGCAAAAGCACCAATACATGTAGCCAATGCAATGATGCAAACACACACGCACACATATATATATAGATATATATAT